TGTCACCTAACAGACTGGTGAAACTATATCAATATGGTTCCCTCCTCTGACAGGCGACGAGAGATGGGCGCAAAGGGTAATCGAAAAATAATATCTGCCATTGTCATCATTTCCTAAACCTTAAGGTTGATGGGTTGGAGGGCTTTCAAATTGTTTTTGACGAGGTTCAGTTCCTTTGTCACCGGGTGATTAAGGGTACTTGTGTCCTGTATTCTTGTTTCTCACAGGCAGCATACATCAATGCACAGGATATCCAATGTACAAACATCAGCCAAATGCTGTCCTGCTTGTTCCTGTGTGAAGATTAAAGGCAGCTAAGCAGACCGGCTTTCAGGGTTTGAAAAGAGTGTTTAGAGTTGTCATCGAAGTCGGACTTACAGAAGCTGCAGCTGAGCATGATGCACAGTCAGTCTTAATGCTGAGATCTGTGGAAGGAATATTCAAACTCGGGTGGAGTAGGAGAGGAGAGAAAAATCCTGGGAGAGTCAGTAGTAGCATGTTTTTGCTTACCCGCCCTGCTGTATGCAGCAAATGAGGAGACCCATTTGGTGGCACCACGCAACGGCCAATTTGGCATGAGGTTATTTTGAATTAGGCGTCGTGGTTGTGCGTGGGCTGGGATACTACCAGTGTGCCCAGATTTAGACATGAGGACGATAAGGGCCCGCTTTACCAATAGTTGTCTCCACACTGTAGTTGTTTGGCTCAATTAAGATCAATGATGAGATAAACGGTATTTATAAGTCGCAGGGATATATGCTCCGACAGTTATGGTTAGATTATTCGCGATCTGTCACGACCGCTTCGGTCGGCAGGAACGGATACCGTCATCCTGGCGAGTAGCATGAACGCCTAAGTTGGATGACTAAGCTCGGAAGAAGCACAGCTGGATGGCAGATTTGGAATCATTGTTCAGAGCACGAATACTGAGAAGCGACTTCTACAGTGTGCTGAAATTAATGTACGCGGTCAGTGCGAGCTCTCAGCATATGCGTTCATACCGAGTTACTTGGAGATCGCCAGTTTAAAATAAGTCACGGGCTTAAATCACCTGGCCGGGAAGCCTCAACTGAAGAGTGTCGTTCAATCTGAAGTATGCCATTTTGCTCCGATCATCTCATCGTGCGGGATCGGTCATCTGCTCGCTTCCCCTCAGGATCACGCATGCTGAAGTAAAGCAAACTTATTTATCAATAGCTAAGAAATATCGATCTGATCTGGCTGGAAAGCCTTTAGGACTGCCTATCTACGCTGCCCTACTCACGAAGATCATCAGACCCTATTGCTACCAGGAAAACCGTAACAGCAACTGGTGACCACAGTGCAACATACGGCTACCTCAAACAACAGGAAGAATGGGAGAGAACGCTGGTGGGTTTTGACTCTCCAGTAACGGGAAAAACTTTCACTGCAGGTAAGGACCACGCCCAAATTCAACTGATTCGACCGACCGGCTAAACACGACTGTCAATGAACACTTCAAAAAGAAGTTCAGCTTGCCTGCAGTAAAATCCCTGAACGCACCCCTTGGGTTTGAATGGAACGTCGATATCAGTACGTCAGCAAAACAAATCCAATACGGGATATCATTCCCCCAAAGCGACAAGACACGCAACCCAGATGTGTACTTTTCAGAAGTGGCAATATCATGGTAAACAGTTCGAGGACCGTACTATGGAAGACCTGGAACGAAAACAGGACACCAGAGGAATGGAGCACTCTAACCATAATCCCAATTTGTGAAAAAGACGCAAGAACATCAGTATGACAGGTGTTCAACATTGATGCTTCACTGCCGTACAACCAGGATCTATTTGAAAGCCTTATTGTGAAGTAAAGAATAAAGGTGGACGGGGAAGGAACTTAGTGCTACTTTACTACAATTGTTCCGAGGCCCATACACCTCCGAACACTCATTCAAGCAATCTTCATAGAGACTAACACCATTGCGCTTCCAACCAGGCGCAGTGGGGATCACTCGGTCCCCATCTTGGTAGATAAGTGGAACCCAAACGATTCCTAATCTCTTTCATAACCCTCTGCTACGTCATGTTTCAGCCACCTCTATCCTCCCGCTATGGGCACGGGAAACAGCACTCTCTTCGGCAAACACAATACATGGCCTAACCAACACAGTTTCTAGTGCTGTACGCATTCGTAACGTTAAGTTACATTCGAGGAGGGCTGATATATTTCTCCGAGATTTAAGCAGTGCCATTGTTCTGATAGCCAGTATTTGATTGAGCCCGGTAGCGCTGCGCCACAGGCAAAACTCCAAGCACTGTGCGAAGAGGTGGATATCTCGTCCCGGCATGAATTTACATCCGATAGTGGAGCATTTGGAAGAGACTCTAGAAGACGATTCTGGTAAATTCGTCTAACATCCGGATCTACCAGGCGAGGACCTCGAGAACGAAGGGAGATGCGACTCCAGACGAGCGCGTCGTCAGGATCCATGTGTTCCAAAATGACCAGTGGTCGGCCAATGGTCCGCTCCATCTGTAACTGATGGGAATGTGACCGATCTGAGTTCGTCGCCGGCACGTCATCAAAGGACACCATGTGGCCAGATGACTTCGGCTATTTTGGAAGTTAACACTGCATTAAAACTCTGCGGTTAGCACACAGCTAAGACAATCGTTCACCACTGTTCATACCCACCATCAATGAAAAGCGAGTCCAGTGTGAGAGCGTGTGGTTTGTTGGCCTGCTTGCTTCAGAGTGCGGACATTGGAGGCGGCCAGATAGACTGGGCATCGAGACTTGAAGATGCATTTCGAGACGCCCTAGGATGTAGGCGCCGGATGACGCGCAGATGTTGCTTGCAAAACCGTTGCAGGACGAACAGAGTCATCAGGCCTAAGTCATGGGCCCACAAGGCTAAAGTTATTAATGAAATGTGTGTGTGAGGGGGAGAAAAAGTGTGTGAAATAGAAAGATGGAACGCGTCAGCAGTAGCATGTTTTCGCTTCTTCGTTCTGCTGTAAGCAGCGAGAAGGGCGACCCAGCCGATAGATCCACGCGACGACTGAGTTCATGGCTGTACGTGGGTTGGGATATTGCCAGTGCTCCCACACCTAGACAGGAGGACGGCTGATGTCCTTAACCAAAGTCTTAGGCTCAAAAGTCTAACCATAAGGTAACCGTGTTTAGCTGGAGATGCACGTACATTACCATTTTTACGGAACAGGTCGCCACATATGTTCCAACCCCAACCTGGAGGACCAACAGACTGTTCGTCAGACCTCTAAACAATGACCAACCTAGCTCAATCAGTACACACAAACCGTCACGCCACGGTAAGGCCATCTTCTTGACATCGGTGGAGAAACAAACTCGTGTTAATGAACCTGGGATTCGCCAAGGATGCATTGATAGTATTTTTATTGAGACAAGTTCTCTGATCACCCAACTCTTTCACATGTTGAGTGATAGGCATTGATCTTGACTGCTTATGACTCGGTCGGTCATCAGATACTGTTGGTTTGTTTATCTATCAATTGTCCCATCTGAAATTTCATCACTTATTAGAGCACTGTACGTCGATCCCTGTGGGCATGCATACAGGAAGCTTCCGCCTGTGTTCGCCACGTCCTCTAATCATCCCTGTTCAACTTTGCTATGGTTAAGAGGGCTAGAGATAGCCCAGTGGTTAAGCTGCGAACTTACTGATCAGATCCGTGTTTCGAACTCAGCCTTGGAACCTTGACCGATCCTGTCTCGGCCTGGTCAGACTAGTAGTATCCCAGCCCCCGTAGAACATGATGAACCAAGCGCAAACTATGGAGTGAGCGAGTTGCTCCTTCCGAATACCGTTCGGTATACATCAGCATTACTGATCCGGTGTCCCATCAGATTCGGGTAATGGTCCGAAAATAACGACGGTCACTGAGAATTTTTCAACATCCCCAGCGTGCAGCAGCCAGGTTTCCGACAATATAGAGATCCGTAAACCATTGTCACCTTGATCCTTGACAGGTGAAATGACATCACACCTATACAGGTTCACTAAGGTTGCTCTAGTCGTCCCGATCCTGACGGGAATATTGTCTTTGATTAGACCACCGGGATTGATACAGCTTCCCAGGAAGATAAACTTGTCTACTCCTTATTCGGTTCATCGGTAAACATGAGTTTAAGGTTTGGGCCCACCTAGCTTTACAGCAGCATATTCCACATTGCAGGTGCGAAGTACATACCAAACCATGAGGCAGAATTACTCAGGTTGTTTAATATTGTTTGCATTACGATAGCGTACTCGATATTGCATCACTTGACATCATAGTCATTATCGACAGTATTGCACCTGAGATTCTTGGCTGTCGCCAAACCGTGATTTATTTGAAGGTCTCATTGTGAAGAAAAGAATAAAAATGCAGGGGAGGCTTGGTGCCACTCTACATCAATCACTCTGAGGTGCCTGAACCTCCAGAAACTCATTCCTGCAATCCATACAGAAACTAAGCTCAAAACACAGGCAATGTGCTTGCTGGTGATACGAACGTTCTGGTGTTTATACTAAGTGCTCCTAGAGTCCACTAAGTGGTCGTCTTGGTTTGGACACGAGACGCACGAGATCGCCTGCTTAAGATGTGCGTCCACCACAGACCGTTCCTTTGAAGTCGAGCTGAAGGAAGCTCGGTGGTTAAGGCACGAAAGCAATGACCAGAAGGCCCGTCGTCCAAACCCGAACCTGGCATCTCAATTGCTCCTGTCTTGGTTTGGGAAACTTGTCGGTATCTAAGCTCTCGTGCTTCCTTTGGGTGGCAAGGCAGCTAAGCACCACAGGGATGTTACGGCTGAGCGGATACCCTTGCAGTACCAATTTCCGGAACAGCGGAGATCGGTTGACAAAGCGATGACCAGCAATAACCAGCTCCAAATGTAAATAGACCACATCGCTGTCAGTTACCAGTAGCGAAGGTTGGTCACTGCCTGACGCTCCTTCCGGAATGATAGCGTGGATTCCGACCATGAACTTGTGCGCTGCTACCTTTCAGGTCTACGCAAAACGCGCACACCTAGCTTGGCCACTGAGAAGCCATTGGCCCAGAAATCAAACGAACCCATCGGAGCCGATTGCTCGAACGCCTGCCGGAAGGTCCGATTTTGGATATCAACGGCCACGAGCGAAAATATATCCAAAGCGCTACTCAAAGCCTGTTCTTCTGTTTGCGATGTAACCCAGCAACCCACATCTAAATATTGGATCTCTGATACGACCGTGGATTTAATGTAGGCCCGGTGACAGATAACTCTTGATTCCAACCACAACTCAACTCCACGCAAGGTGAAATTGATTGTTTGTACCGACTGCGAGTCTTGGTGAACCCGAAAGACCGAAGAAATGGAAGATGCGAAAAGTGCTGGAAACATCCACAAGCTGTTCCACTTGATTCGTTCGATGACACTTAGAAGCCTTTTATCAGCGAAATTATCAGAAACCAAATGGTCCTCTGATTTCCAGCAAAGCAGAACGTTTGAACCGATGAGCACAGTACTCCGAAAAGCACTTCACTTGGGCCACCTTCTAACTGCAATCCGCGATCCTGAAATTCAACAAAAAGGTGAATGATGAACATAGAACCCCTTCAGTCTCAAGTTTCCGAGTGTATATCTCTACTCAAGCATCATCATACTGCTGGACCTGATGACCTTCTACCTGTTCTGTTCAAGGATGGCGGTGGATTCCTCCACCTGCCTAGCCTACTGGTCTACCTGAAGAAAAGACCGTTCCAGACAACTGAGGTGAGTCAATAATGGCGCCCATTTACAACAGAGTACTCACAGTGAATATGTCAGTCAGACTCCTGTCCTAACAAGGCTTCTGGTGTTCCTGATTCATCGTCACCTTGCGAAGCCTTGACCAGTGTGCATCAAGTGGGATTTCGACTGAGTGGAGGCTGAGTTGACCACGCATTCATCATCATCATCATCATCATTAAAGACAGCAACGCATTCACACTCTGTCATGAGTTAAGGCGAGGCCACATGTACAAACGACCCAAGATCTTGATGTTACTTGACTTTAAGGGTGCGTTCAATTTTGTCGTTCGGTCAAGGCTGATAACTACGCTTGCTCAAAAGATGTCTGTTAACATAATCTACTTCCTACACTCCAATACTTCTGAGCGTGAGTGCATAGTGAAGTTTCCAAAGGCTTGCCTACAAAAGTGTTAGACAAGGATGTACACACCCTCCGTTCTTGTCCAACGTTGTTATCTCCGAAATGAGGCGAACGCTTGGTTTTCAAAAGCAGTGCACAAATCGTTGCTAATGGGAACCTTCTCGATCTGGAGTACGCAGACGACATCGACCTCACCTGCGAAGATCAATGTGAAGCTCAAGTTCTGTTGAATAGTGACCAGATTCATACCCCCTCTCGGCATAGGCCTTGCAGTCATGCTTCACCACGTAGCCTTTGAACATAAACCTTACAACTCAAGGAGAACCACTGGAGGTTGTGGGGAATTTTACACTTCGGCGGCTGCATTAGCTCTGACAGGAGTGTCTGATGAAATCGGTCCGCAAATCTCAAAGGCCCAAATCACGTTTGCTAATCTGCGATACTTGTGGTGACAAAAAGTCATCACTAGATCTTTAGGGTTGCGTGTACCAGACCACCGTAGAGGCTACATTGTTGTATGGCTACGAGGGGTGATCTCTGATATTGTGAGGCGTCGTCAGGTTTTCGACCACCGATGCCTCAGAAGTGTCGCTGGTTTCAGATGGCATTAACAGATTAGTAACGGGACAATTAGAAATAGGGGTATTTGGTTGCACAGCAGGCACTTTAATTGCTGAAAACATATGGAACCTTCGAGCACGGATGCTCAGTCACGTTCTACGCATGCCGAAACGTCTACCGAGTCGACAGTTGCTCTCCGCGTCCCCTCCAGAGTGGCGCAAACCGCAAAATAGGAAATGTATGGGTGTGAAAGAGTTTCGGTGTTGTTCATGTGGTTCGCCTTCCAGGTTGGGGTGTCTGTGACCACTTCTGCGCTTGAGGGAATTGCATGAAATGGCGACTGACCGACCCAAATAGCTTTCGTGTTGTCGGTTTCCAGATAGCTTGATTGAACGCTTGGAGATGTATGTACCTCAAAATGCTAGCGACAGGGCAGCACCAGGAGCCCCCTAACCCATTCTTCTTTCCACTTTAAAGCTTCAAATGAAACTCAAATAAAGCTCAATGGTTGTGCGGACATGAAGCATCAGAGTCAACACCGATGTTGCTGTCTCTGGTGGTGATGAGCGTTACTGATCTAGTGTTTCCACCAGACCAGCGCAATCCTTCGAAGGCTCCCATAATCAAACACGTAGAGCTTTCACACCCGATGTCTAGAACCCATAAATTAGTACGGATAGGGATTGTACATCCAACTCGTGACAGTCAAGCTAGTGTCACAACGGTGCCACAAATGTCAAAGTTTAACAAACACCGTCCTGGCCTTCCCAATTCTGGAAGTAACTTCGTCTTTCGCCAGACCGCCGCGACTCACGAGGATACCCACGTAAACTAACTTATCTACCATACTGACCGCTTCACCTGCAAGCATGAGGTTTGGGTTTGATTCCACCTAGTCTTGCAGCAGCACTTTACACCTTTCTTTCGCCAGACCGCCGCGACTTACGAGGATACCCAGGTAAACTAACTTATCTACCATACTGACCGCTTCACCTGCAAGCATGAGGTTTGGGTTTGATTCCACCTAGTCTTGCAGCAGCACTTTACACCTTACAGGTACGAAGCATATTCCGAACTGTTCAGCACGAGCAAGCGTAGTTATCAGCCTTGACCGAACACAGGTACGAAGCATACTCCGAACTGTTCAGCACGACTGATTCAAAATAGTTTGCATTTTCGAAAAACAGTACAATCGACGTAGTTAATTTCCGCGAGCGAACGCCCTAACTCATGACGGAGTGTGAATGCGTGGTGAATGCGTTGCTGTCTTTGATGATGATGTTTATGGTGAATGCGTGGTCAACTCAGCCTCCACTCAGTCGAAATCCCGCTCGATGCACACTGGTCAGGGTTTCGCAGCGCACTCATGAAAGGAGACACATAAAGCCGGCATCGGAAAGAACTCGTTACTAGACACTGCCAGTTTCTAACGATCAACGGAGTTACAGAAAGACTCGAATTTAAGATTTCCAAGCATTATTTTTTCGCATTCCGGGGACCTTGCAGTATGGTCATTAGGCTGACAGCAACCGATTCGCCATCTCCTTCCAAGAGAGCGGAGTAAAAATCGTCTGGTCCAGATATTCTGTTGCACTGAAGCAGTGAGAATGCGCGCTGGACTTACGTCGACAATGGCAGACTGATGTCGGCATCCCATCGGGATTCAGTCAAACATTCCCAGAGGTGAACGTCTCCGGGCAGACGGTTTTCAAAGTTGTGATCCTAACCTTTTTTGCCTTTCTTCAGTCATCAAATCACCATTGTGTCTATCGAGTTCAGGGAGCTTTCCAGCCAACTCAACTCAACAGACGGTCTGCAGATAGTGAGCTGAACCCCCACATATTAACCAGCACAAATGCCGTTTTCTATGCCGGAAGGTCCGATTTCGGATATCAACGGCCACGAGCGAAAATATATCCAAAGCGCTACTCAAAGCNACACCTATACAGGTTCACTAAGGTTGCTCTAGTCGTCCCGATCCTGACGGGAATATTGTCTTTGATTAGACCACCGGGATTGATACAGCTTCCCAGGAAGATAAACTTGTCTACTCCTTATTCGGTTCATCGGTAAACATGAGTTTAAGGTTTGGGCCCACCTAGCTTTACAGCAGCATATTCCACATTGCAGGTGCGAAGTACATACCAAACCATGAGGCAGAATTACTCAGGTTGTTTAATATTGTTTGCATTACGATAGCGTACTCGATATTGCATCACTTGACATCATCGTCATTATCGACAGTATTGCATCAGAGATTCTTGGCTGTCGCCAAACCGTGATTTATTTGAAGGTCTCATTGTGAAGAAAAGAATAAAAATGCAGGGGAGGCTTGGTGCCACTCCACATCAATCATTCTGAGGTGCCTGAACCTCCAGAAACTCATTCCTGCAATCTATACAGAAACTGAGCTCAAAACGCAGGCAATGTGCTTGCTGGTGATACGAACGTTCTGGTGTTTATACTAAGTGCTCCTAGAGTCCACTAATTGGTCGTCTTGGTTTGGACACGAGACGCACCATCACAGATCGCCTGCTTAAGATGTGCGTCCATCACAGACCGTTCCTTTGAATTCGAACTGAAGGAAGCTCGGTGGTTAAGGCACGAAAGCAATGACCAGAAGGCCCGTCGTCCAAACCCGAACCTGGCATCTCAATTGCTCCTGTCTTGGTTTGGGAAACTTGTCGGTATCTAAGCTCTCGTGCTTCCTTTGGGTGGCAAGGCAGCTAAGCACCACAGGGATGTTACGGCTGAGCGGATACCCTTGCAGTACCAATTTCCGGAACAGCGGAGATCGGTTGACAAAGCGATGACCAGCAATAACCAGCTCCAAATGTAAATAGACCACATCACTGTCAGTTACCAGTAGCGAAGGTTGGTCACTGCCTGACGCTCCTCCCGGAATGATAGCGTGGATTCCGACCATGAACTTGTGCGCTGCTACCTTTCAGGTCTACGCAAAACGCGCACACCTAGCTTGGCCACTGAGAAGCCATTGGCCCAGAAATCAAAACCCATCGGAGCCGATTGCTCGAACGCCTGCCGGAAGGTCCGATTTCGGATATCAACGGCCACGAGCGAAAATATATCCAAAGCGCTACTCAAAGCCTGTTCTTCTGTTTGCGATGTAACCCAGCAACCCACATCTAAATATTGGATCTCTGATACGACCGTGGATTTAATGTAGGCCCGGTGACAGATAACTCTTGATTCCAACCACAACTCAACTCCACGCAAGGTGAAATTGATTGTTTGTACCGACTGCGAGTCTTGGTGAACCCGAAAGACCCAAGAAATGGAAGATGCGAAAAGTGCTGGAAACATCCACAAGCTGTTCCACTTGATTCGTTCGATGACACTTAGAAGCCTTTTATCAGCGAAATTATCAGAAACCAAATGGTCCTCTGATTTCCAGCAAAGCAGAACGTTTGAACCGATGAGCACAGTACTCCGAAAAGCACTTCACTTGGGCCACCTTCTAACTGCAATCCGCGATCCTGAAATTCAACAAAAAGGTGAATGATGAACATAGAACCCCTTCAGTCTCAAGT